AGGTAGTGCCATGCCCTGTTTAATGGCTCACATAAATGTATTAATGTAAATGTTATGTGATTTGTGTGCTAGCTGTATTGTGTTCTTCTCTGTCTAGCCTGTATGTTTGTTTCTCGTCATAGTGTCTACTGTTTGTTTCTCATCACTCTGTATTATGTTTGTTTCTCATCACTCTGTTTTATGTTTGTTTCTCATCATAGTATGTATTGACTCATGTATGAACTGACATCATTGTATGTTTCATTGTTCTAGTAATAGTATCTTCCTAAACTACCCCTATGGTAGCTTACTAGCAATGTATGAACATGTTTGTATACCCTTGCTACCCAAGGGCATGTAACTGAATGAAAGAAATAACCTTTTATATCCATATACATATACATAATATATAACTAGGATTCAAACGACCTTCGGACAACTAACCTTGATACCCTAAGTCCACAACCAAACAAGGAACAGGAAGTAAGGTAGGCTAGCAGTCCTAAGTCCTTTCAATCCTACTTATATAACTATATCTATATAGATACACAGAATATAAGTTTAAAAGAGTTTAAGTAAAAGTAGCTGATAAGTAAAAGAGTTTGTAAAGTAGTTTGAGGTAAAACAGTTTGATAAACAGTTTGAAAAGTAAGAAAACCATTTGTTTGGTAGTTATTAATCATAGGTGATTGATATAATAACTATAGTTGTTCAACTTGTATCCCCCCATAAAAGCATTTAAAAACATTTAAAAGGTTAATTAAGGGGTATGAACTCACCTGTAGTGAGAGGTTTGGATGAACTGAAGAGATAGGATTGCTAGGTGTCAAGTAAAGACTTGTACACACAGTGATCCTATTTAACATATAAATACACATATATGTATTCAATTAGTCTTTAAACAACTAATTTATAAAGTTAAAACATCCTAAGACAAGTTAAACACTTTATATAAGTGTTATAAGTCCCAAGGATTGCATCTAAGTGTTGTAGGACCAAGCTATGGGGTTTAGGGTTCAAGGGAACCCCTTTCATGAGTTTACGGTTTCTTGACCATAACCACATGAGTTTACGGTCATAAACCCATGAGTTTATGGCCGTAAACTCACACCCTTTTGACCATTTGTTGTTTTGAAGGTTTCTAAGTCCTTAGTAGTGTTTCCATTTGAAGTATAAGTCTATGGAAGAAGTTAGGGCACCATTTCACTCCTAAAAGGAGTTTACGGCCCTAAGACCGTTTCCCTTTGGGTTTACGGTCGTAAACCCCTATGGATGATGGTATTTTGATGTTTACAAGTCCTAAACACATTAAGGTATAAGTCTAGACTAGTTTCCAAGGCTAAGGAAGGGACTAGGGTCACTTTGGCCCCTTAAGAAGGGTTTACGGTCCAAGGCGTTCTTGGACCGTAAACACCTTTGATCTTGGTGTTTCCTTGTGTTTTCTTGATGTAAAGATGTGTAGCAAACTTAAACATACTCTAGGATAGAAGTACTTACAATATAGAAGCTTGAAATGTGCCAAAAGTCCAAGAACACTAGTGTGTGTCTTGGTGTTTTGGTGAAACTTGAAGATCAAGTCTTTTGGACTAATTTTTCGGATAGAAGTGTGTTAAAACACTAGATTAAGTGATATACTAACTCAAAAGGGCTAGAAACACTTACTAGATTGAAGATCTTGAATAAAACTTGGATGATACTTGAGAGAGTTTGATATTTGTTCTTGAAAAGTGGAAAAGTGTTAAAAATGGCTAAGTGCCACTTATATACCCCTTTCCCTTAGGGTTTATGGCCGTAAACACCAATTTTAGGCCGTAAACTCTAAACTTTTGATGTGTCGGGACTTTATTGTTGCACAATAAACCCTAGGGCATCTCTCTCTCCTGATATCTCCTAAAGTATTAATCCTAAAATACTCAAACTTATTCCAAAAAGTCTGAAAATTTAACAGTAACTGTTTTGACTTCTATTGACTTGACATGTTGTACAGATAGAAATTTCGGGTTGTCACATCATCCCCTCCTTAGAAGGAATTTCGTCCCGAAATTAGAATTTAAGCAAATAAGTAGTTACAGATAACTAAGTAAAAAGACGTGGATATTTTAGTTTCATCTGATCCTCTCGCTCCCAAGTGAATTCAGGTCCTCGCTTGGCGTTCCAGCGAACCTTCACTATCGGGATGCGGCTTTGTTTCGTTTGCTTGACCTCCCGGTCCATGATCTCTACTGGTTCTTCCACGAAGTTGAGGCTCTCGTTGATCTCGATCTCGTCGAGTGGGATTACAAGAGTCTCGTCGGACAGACACTTTTTCAAGTTCGAGACGTGGAAGGTAGAATGTACGTTACTGAGTTCGCTCGGTAAGTTAAGTTTGTAAGCTAGAGGGCCGATTCTGGCAAGAATCTCGAAAGGCCCAATGTACCTTGGATTTAGCTTTCCACGCTTTCCGAAGCGTATTAAGCCCTTCCAGGGTGAGACCTTTAATAGAACACGGTCGCCCACCTGGAATTCCAACGGTTTCCTTCGTTTATCAGCGTAGCTTTTCTGTCGGTCTCTGGAGGCTTTTAATCGTTCACGAATCTGAACGATCTTCTCCGTCGTTTCCCGAATGATTTCCGGACATGTGAGATTGCTTTCAGGAACTTGTCCCTTAGCTAACTAGGTCTCACCCACCTCGGCCCAGCACAGAGGGGATCTGCACTTGCGGCCGTAGAGGGCCACGAATGGAGCAGCCTTTATGCTTGTGTGATAACTGTTGTTGTAGGAAAATTCGACAAGGGGTAAATGAGTATCCTCCAAGGTTTGGATAGTCCTCTCACTTTTCCCGTCTGTCTGCGGATGGTAGGCTGTACTCATATCCAACCTAGTTCCTAGGGAATTTTGTAGCGACTGCCAGAACCTAGAAGTGAACCTACTATCTCTGTCCGAGATAATGGATATAGGAACACCGTGCAGTCGTACAATCTCTCTAATGTAAGTTCTTGTAAGCTTCTCCATCTTGTCTGTCTCTTTGATAGGCAGGAAGTGCGCAGACTTGGTCAATCTGTCGACGATGACCCATATGGTATCAAGTCCACCCGTTGTCTTGGGCAACTTGGTTATGAAATCCATAGTGATCCGCTTCCACTTCCATTCTGGGATCTCAGGCTGTTGAAGAAGACCTGAGGGTTTCTGGTACTCGACCTTGACCTTTGCGCAAGTAAGGCATTTACTTACGAAGGTAGCAATCTCTGCTTTCATGTTAGGCCACCAGTATAACTTTTTAAGATCCAGATACATCTTATCTGAACCTGGGTGGACGGAATAACGAGTGTTGTGCGCCTCGTTCATGACCAAGTCTCTGAAACCACCAAGTTTCAGGGTCCAGATCCGATCCATGAGATAATAGGATCCGCCACCTTTGACTTCCAAGTTCTTATCCATCCCTCGAAGGGATTCACTGTTCACATTTTCAGGTTTCAAAGCGTCGAGCTGAGCTGCCTGTATTTGTGTGGATAAGTGTGAATGGATAATCATAGTCAATGATTTGACTCTACGACCAGAATATTCTTTCCGACTTAGGGCGTCAGCTACTACATTGGCCTTGCCGGGATGATAACGAATTTCGCATTCGTAGTCACTGAGTAGTTCGACCCACCGTCGTTGTCTCATGTTGAGCTCCTTCTGGTCGAATATATGCTGCAGGCTCTTGTGGTCTGTAAAGATTGTGCTCTTCGTACCGTACAGGTAGTGTCTCCAGATCTTCAAAGCAAAAACAACTGCTCCTAGTTCAAGATCGTGGGTCGTGTAGTTGACCTCATGTGTCTTCAGCTGTCTCGACGCATAGGCGATGACCTTACCTCGCTGCATTAAAACACATCTGAGACCTTGGTTCGATGCATCGCAATAGACAACGAAGTCTTCTATCCCTTCGGGGAGGGATAGTATTGGTGCGGTGCACAAGGCTCGTTTGAGCGTTTGGAACGCTCTCTCCTGCTTTTCTTCCCAGTCAAAGGGTACGCCCTTCTGGGTAAGCGTTGTAAGAGGCTTTGCAATGCGGGAGAAGTTCTGAATGAACCTGCGATAGTAGCCAGCGAGGCCTAGAAATTGACGAATTTCTGTAGGCGTCTTCGGTGCTGACCAGCTCTCAATGGCTTTGATTTTGGATGGGTCCACGTGGATTCCCTCTTCGCTAACCACATGCCCTAAGAATTCGACTCGTCGGATCCAAAATTCGCATTTCGAGAACTTCGCATAAAGCTTCTCCGCGCGCAGGGTTTCTAAGACTAATCGCAGATGTTGGCTATGCTCCTCCTTACTTCGAGAGTAGATAAGTATGTCATCGATGAAGACGATGACGAACTGATCCAAGTAAGGACGACACACCCTATTCATTAAATCCATGAATACTGCGGGTGCGTTTGTTAATCCGAATGGCATCACTACGAATTCGTAGTGCCCATAACGAGTTCGGAAGGCCGTCTTCGGAACATCCTCCTCTAGCACTCGTAGTTGGTGATATCCGGATCTTATGTCGATTTTGGAAAAGAAATTCGCCCCTTGAAGTTGATCGAATAAATCGTCGATCCGAGGCAAAGGATAACGATTTTTGACGGTCAGTTTGTTGAGCTCCCTGTAGTCGATGCACATACGAAATGATCCGTCTTTCTTCTTGACGAACAAGACTGGAGCTCCCCAGGGTGAGAAGCTCGGTCTTATAAAGCCTTTGCTGAGCAGCTCGTTAAGTTGACAGGATAGTTCTTGCATCTCTGCAGGTGCTAGACGATAAGGCGATTTGGCTATGGGAGTAGCCCCTGGAACTAAGTCGATTCTGAACTCGACTTGTCGTTGCGGAGGTAATCCTGGTAGCTCTTCTGGAAAGATGTCGGGAAAGTCGCATACTACTGGAATGTTCTGAATAGGTTTCGTTTCTTGGTTCACATCGACCACATGAGCAAGGAATGCGCGACATTCCTTTCGCAAGAATTTTTTAGCTTGAATGCTCGAGATAATACGAAGGTTTGTGCCGGGTTTGTCGCCATATACTACTAGGGTTTCGCCAGACGAAAGATTAAGGCGGACAACCTTTTCGTAACACATGATGTCGGCATGAAGAAAACTCAACCAATCCATGCCGATGATGACGTCGAAACTTTTAATTGAGACTGACATGAGATCGATCGAGAATGAATGGCTATCTAAGTTTAAGGTACACCCTATGAATATGCAGCTAGTGCTCTCTGTCTTCCCATTAGCCATTTCTACTGTGAACGGTTCTTTGAGTGCTCGTGATTTTTTCTTAAGTAAATGAGCAAATTTTTGGTTCACGAAGCTCCTCTCCGCTCCACTATCAAATAGTATACAAGCATAAGAGTTGTCGAGGAGAAACGTACCAGTGACCACTGTGGGGTCGGCAACCGCCTCCTCATGACCTATAGCCAGAACTCTTCCTACTCCACCGGCAGTCCCTGCCTTGGGGCAGTTCCTTTTGTAGTGGCCCACATCGCCACAATTGTAGCAAGCTTGGCCCACTCCAGCGTCGGGGACTTGGGTGATTGGCCTCACCGGAGATTTGAAGAAACGGGCTGTGTGCCCCTTCCTGTTGCAGTTTACACACTGCATTTCCCGACAGGCTCCCACATGGTGGTAGTTACACTTGTTGCATAGTGGCAAACTTCCAGAATACTGCTTTAATGGAGCAGCAGCAGTGGCAGGTGTTGTCGCACTATGAACTGCCACGATCTGCTGTTTCTTGGCAGCCTTCTTCTTTTTCTTGTCATCCCAGAATTTCCGCTTGGACTCTGCAGTTCTGGCGGTTTCTGAGATGGCCAGGGTGGTTGTTGCAGCCGGGGTACGGACCCCGTGGTCAATTAGCTGCTGTGCCAATCGCTTGGCACTATCAAATGTAGTGGGGCGTGATGACAATACATTTCCCTGGTATGGTGGCACCAGCCCCCATATATATCTCTCGATCTTCTTTCCCTCTGTATGAATCATGTTGGGACAGAGGGCCACCAGTTCACAGAACCTGGCGGTATATGCGACGATGTCGGAGCCCTTCATGGTTAGGCGCCAAAGTTCTTCCTCCAGCTTTTGGATCTCGCCTCTCGGGCAGTACTCCTCAATCATGAGGTCTTTCATGGTGCCCCAGCCCATATCATTTGCCACCACTAGAGATAGTGACTTAACATGGCTATTCCACCATGTTAGGGCTTTTGATTCGAAGGTGCAAGCGGCAAACTTGACCTTGCTTCTCTCCGGGCACGAGCAGATTTCAAAGACCGATTCTGTCTTCTCGAACCATTGTGAGAGTACAATGACTCCGCCAGTTCCCCTAAAGGACAATGGCTTGCAGTTTGTGAAGTCTTTATAGGAGCACTCTCTCGAGCGCACAGGGGTTTCAACCTGAATAGTCGGAACAGGAGTCCCTCCTCCAGTGGAACTTGAGGAATGATATTCAGCCATGGCTGTAGCCACAGCCGCAGCTATAGCAGCATTTAGAGCTGCTGTATCAAATTGAGGAGTAGGTGGAGTTGGTGTGGGAGGATTGCGTCTTGTTGATTTACGTGGAGGCATCTTTGAACTGAAAGTTTAGAAAGATGAAAACATTGATAAGAATTTGATAGAAATATGATGAGAATGGCTCATGGACTAACTCTTCATAGCCCAACAACGTAATTGAATGAATACTTGAATGAAGATTAAAGCATTTGGATAATAATTTCCATTAGATTAGATATATGTCAAAGTCTACTGGGATTACAGATGTAACAAGTTTGGGAAAAATGACCTAGAAGTAGGTCTTACATCAACCAAGATTGGAAATTTTTGACAGAACTACGACCTAATAATTGACCTAACAGGTCTAAGGTTGAACAAGATAGGAAATTAGCCTAAAGTTTTTACATAAACTAGGTTATATCCAAAAGAGAAGTCGATAAGACTCTAAAGGCGACGAGAACTGCTACAGTGAGTTCTTGAATCCGATAGGAGACGCTCTATGTCCCTCACACGCCTATCAGATCTTGCTTGCTGAGTTCGAAGTTCCCTGACTTTGGCTCGGGTTTCAGCAAGTTCCCTCTGAAGCATTGCATTGCTAACCTGAGCCCTTTCATGAGCGGACTCCAGCTGGCGAATGCAGACAGTGTTAACACCAAAATTGGCATCCACTCTACTACTACCCGGTCGATAGCTGCTCGACCCTGCTCGGTGTTCCGAGCAATCCTACGAACCATGATAGGTAGGACCCTATCAGCTGTACCTCCCTCAGTAAGGTTGTAGAAACTTCTATCTCCATTGTAGGGAAAAGGTTGACCTTGTTCCTGACTTCACCTATTCAAGTTTGTGGCCCACAGAGGTGTGGGTCCTTGGAATGCGGGACGAGGGTTTGGGTTTTGAACAGCTGGGGGTTGGTTGTTGACTTCTGGCTCCGATTCGGAACCATCAGAAAAACCTTCAGCTTCATAATCATCTAAAGGGATTGGGTGATTATCTTCTGGTTCTTCTTCCAGCCATCCTGCGTTGTCGTGGTTGGGATAGTACGGGTCTCCGTGGGGATGGAATCCAACCATGATATCTACGCGAGAAAAGGGATATAAGGAAATAACTAAATTAGACTAACTAAGTAGATAATTATAAGATGATCTTTATTAGTTGCTTCAATACTTGTTTAAAGCATACTAGTTACATGTAACGCAGACGGGATAGACCTTCGAATAAGTGACCCTAACCCTAAGCCCACAACCAAACAAGGAACAGGAAGTAAGGCAAAGATCACAGATTCTAAGTCTATGACATCCTAGCACATATAACCTTAGTGTATCCACTAAACAACCATTGATATACTAATAAAGACCTTTAGTTCTCAAATAAGTAATTATTGTAACACAAAATACTCCTATAGTATTTTCAAGTTTAATGTTCTGTTCTACTGTTCTCATTGTAGTAGTGTTGGTAAGTTTTTAGACTTTTTTGCAACCTCACAACCACACTTAGGCACATGCTAATCACTCCTCGGATAACGTAGTTGATCAGGCTACATCTTCCTAGGGTTGACCATATGTCTCTAAGTCTACTTGTGATGTCCAACAATCGTAATACTTTCGTTCTGTCCTAGTGACACTGATTTTAGTATGAATGCAGGTATGTATACTTTATTAAACATTTTATTATTTAAAGTATAAACTCTTCATCAGATCCCGCTTGTGTTTATAGTTTGTATATCTTTAATGGGTTGATACACTCGATTCACTATAAACAATGCTCTGATACCAATCTGTCACACCCCCAAAACCTATGAACAGCGGAAACGTTCTGGGGTGGAGGACGTCATGTACAGTATCACAACAATGCAAGTAGTAAACAAGCAACAACATCATCCATTGCATTAATAATATAATTTCATACAAGTGTGTTCTGTCAAGTTTTAAAGACACCAAAACAATATACATCAAAAATATAAGATGAGTCTGGAACGAGCTCCATCTTCTCAAAACCTGGCTCCGGTACCTGTCTACTGGTGACCTGAGAATACAAGTTATTTTGAAAGAGTTTATCAGCTTTAAAGCTGGTGAGATCATAAGTATATTAGTGTCTGTGTTTGTATGGAAACATTTGTAAGATGTTTTGTAAAATGTACTGTATATGTTTGTAAAAAAGTTTGTATTTGTTTGAACTCTCCTAGAAAACCCTATGTTTCCTACTAAAAGTAGCCTTCTACCAAGGCATCTAGTGTCTGCGTGTGTATCTCTTGTAAAAGTGTGTATTTTCCCAAATTCGACTATCATTAACCAAAAATATAGTTTTACATCATTGTTTATTGTGTGAATAACACAAAGTAAAATGTAAGGGAAAATGTTATAGTACTGTAGTGCTGTATTAAGTAACTACTGCTGTACTAACTACCTTAAGCCAAATGTAAAATTTTAAGGTAATATGTGATCGGCCTGTATCTTGCTACCGACTCAATAGTAAAACGACAATGTAAGATGCCGTAAAAATGACGTTTGGCACCCGTAGACTTGCAAGTCCCACTGTAGCGAGCAGCAAGGTGTAGGATAGTCAATCCAGTATAGATCTATACACAAACTCATACGCTCCCCAATTAAGGAGATTCTGATACAAAAACAGTCATGGCAGGTAGTGCCATGCCCTGTTTAATGGCTCACATAAATGTATTAATGTAAATGTTATGTGATTTGTGTGCTAGCTGTATTGTGTTTTTTCTCTGTCTAGCCTGTATGTTTGTTTCTCGTCATAGTGTCTACTGTTTGTTTCTCATCACTCTGTATTATGTTTGTTTCTCATCACTCTGTTTTATGTTTGTTTCTCATCATAGTATGTATTGACTCATGTATGAACTGACATCATTGTATGTTTCATTGTTCTAGTAATAGTATCTTCCTAAACTACCCCTATGGTAGCTTACTAGCAATGTATGAACATGTTTGTATACCCTTGCTACCCAAGGGCATGTAACTGAATGAAAGAAATAACCTTTTATATCCATATACATATACATAATATATAACTAGGATTCAAACGACCTTCGGACAACTAACCTTGATACCCTAAGTCCACAACCAAACAAGGAACAGGAAGTAAGGTAGGCTAGCAGTCCTAAGTCCTTTCAATCCTACTTATATAACTATATCTATATAGATACACAGAATATAAGTTTAAAAGAGTTTAAGTAAAAGTATCTGATAAGTAAAAGAGTTTGTAAAGTAGTTTGAGGTAAAACAGTTTGATAAACAGTTTGAAAAGTAAGAAAACCATTTGTTTGGTAGTTATTAATCATAGGTGATTGATATAATAACTATAGTTGTTCAACTTGTATCCCCCCATAAAAGCATTTAAAAACATTTAAAAGGTTAATTAAGGGGGTATGAACTCACCTGTAGTGAGAGGTTTGGATGAACTGAAGAGATAGGATTGCTAGGTGTCAAGTAAAGACTTGTACACACAGTGATCCTATTTAACATATAAATACACATATATGTATTCAATTAGTCTTTAAACAACTAATTTATAAAGTTAAAACATCCTAAGACAAGTTAAACACTTTATATAAGTGTTATAAGTCCCAAGGATTGCATCTAAGTGTTGTAGGACCAAGCTATGGGGTTTAGGGTTCAAGGGAACCCCTTTCATGAGTTTACGGTTTCTTGACCATAACCACATGAGTTTACGGTCGTAAACCCATGAGTTTACGGCCGTAAACTCACACCCTTTTGACCATTTGTTGTTTTGAAGGTTTCTAAGTCCTTAGTAGTGTTTCCATTTGAAGTATAAGTCTATGGAAGAAGTTAGGGCACCATTTCACTCCTAAAAGGAGTTTACGGCCCTAAGACCGTTTCCCTTTGGGTTTACGGTCGTAAACCCCTATGGATGATGGTATTTTGATGTTTACAAGTCCTAAACGCATTAAGGTATAAGTCTAGACTAGTTTCCAAGGCTAAGGAAGGGACTAGGGTCACTTTGGCCCCTTAAGAAGGGTTTACGGTCCAAGGCGTTCTTGGACCGTAAACACCTTTGATCTTGGTGTTTCCTTGTGTTTTCTTGATGTAAAGATGTGTAGCAAGCTTAAACATACTCTAGGATAGAAGTACTTACAATATAGAAGCTTGAAATGTGCCAAAAGTCCGAGAACACTAGTGTGTGTTCTTGGTGTTCTTGGTGAAACTTGAAGATCAAGTCTTTTGGACTAATTTTTCGGATAGAAGTGTGTTAAAACACTAGATTAAGTGATATACTAACTCAAAAGGGCTAGAAACACTTACTAGATTGAAGATCTTGAATAAAACTTGGATGATACTTGAGAGAGTTTGATATTTGTTCTTGAAAAAGTGGAAAAGTGTTAAAAATGGCTAAGTGCCACTTATATACCCCTTTCCCTTAGGGTTTACGGCCGTAAACACCAAGTTTAGGCCGTAAACTCTAAACTTTTGATGTGTCGGGACTTTATTGTTGCATAATAAACCCTAGGGCATCCTCTCTCTTGATATCTCCTAAAGTATTAATCCTAAAATACTCAAACTTATTCCAAAAAGTCTGAAAATTTAACAGTAACTGTTTTGACTTCTATTGACTTGACATGTTGTACATAATAGAAATTTCGGGTTGTCACACTAACAGATACCGAATCATCGTCAACAACATGATAGCTCATGGGATTGTCTGAACTCCTTTAGAGTACAATCTCAATTTCATCAACAGCCTTGGTAAAGGATGGGGAAATGTGAAATTGTGTCTTCAGAGTAATGGATCTCTGAAGAAGCTAAAGCTTTACCAACTGTTTGACGAGCTCCAAGGTCATGAATCAAATGTTGCACAAACTTTGAGAGTACTCTCAGGAGGTCCTCTTTCTCTTGTCAGTTCTTATGATCCTCAAGTTTCGAACCTCTTTGCTTCGGACCCTTTCAAAGCCGTTATCCCATCTATCCCATCTATCCCACCTGTTCAACCCTCTCCACCAACTTTACCTACTCTTGCTAGTTCAAACTATCAGTTTGATGGAGACCTCGACCCTGAAGCAATAGACTCCGAACTATGTTTTCAACAAGAATTTGCTTTAA